GTGTCAGTAGGGGTACCCCATGACTCAGCACCCCGGGAAATTTAAAAAGCGCCTATTACCATTCCTCTCCTGGGGATTCACATTTAAAGATACAGTTTAAAAGTTTCAGATGCGGGGTTCAGTGCACTGAAGGGAGAGTGACTTGTTTTGTGAATTCTTTTTAACTTATATAAAAAAGGAAAATTCCATATTACACTAGAGAGATTTTTGTCCCTTCTTTTCCCAAAGGTAAAAATTTTACCCCCAAAAATTATATCCCCAATATAGGGGGAGGTCTTTCGTATACTGAAGTGGGGCACTGTGTAAAGGGTAATGGTCAGCGGGGCATAAAAAGTGCGCAAGGTGGTTTGCTTGGACTTTTACATAATCACCAGTGCAAATGGAGTTATTTTAACCATTGTGTGGCCCTTTTATACCCCTTTTGTTTCCGTTTTCCACAGAGATGTCGTTTTTTTTTTCCACAATTGATTAAGAGAAAAATTTCATATTTTTGTTTATGGTATTTTTTAAGGGTTTTTCTAATTGTTTTTATGATTGTAGGGGACACATTGCGTGGTAAAGATTTCACTTTTCACTAGATTTCACAAGTTTTTGCTTGTTTTTTATTTTTTCATTTTATTTATCACGGAAGTAATGGACAGGTGTGAGTGGACACATATTTATAGGTATTTAAATCGAGGTACACGGTTGATTATTTGTTTTTTTTTATTACTGCTGTAGGATTTTTCCTCGGTCCTCTCCCTTGGTCCTCCAGACCCAACTTACAGAGGCACATCGCTGAGAAACGTTACTACACCGTGTCGCTCGTGCAACATTCCCTCGCTGCATCTCTCCGCTTGCCCATTCTTTTTAGTTGCAGTTCCCTGCTGCATAGGCCCTACATACTTGGCCTCTTGAATAGGGGAAATCTCCTTGACAGATGCATATTTAAGCTCGTTTTGTCTTCCTGAACTTGTGGACTCCTTGACTATTGGATGGAGAACATCTGTCCGCCCTCAAAAGAACATTACCTGTCTCCTGGATGGAGCCCCTGAGTTATGGGCCAGGTCTGTGATTTTTAAAGGCTGTGCACACCTTTACACATACCATTCTGGTCTCAGGTAGGACCATAACTGGGTTAAGGGATTTGTCCCACCCAAGGCTCCCGTGAAGCCTTTTGGACCACTTTGGAAATGATAAAACCTGGAGAAAACTGAAAAGCCAGCCTTATCTGTTTGCTCAGAAATTGATATTCCAAAGCCCCACACTTTGCATTTGTGTGAGACCCTGTGTCACTTTGCCTATTGTTACACAGTGTCAGGGCCTCACACTGTTCACATAATAAATATAGATATTACACTATTTTATTTAAATATTTCAACCTCATATAAGCAGTAAAGTTAAAATATTGATAAACCCCATTCTTTTTCCATTTTGAATAACGTAGATAATGGTTTTTTTTTGTCTCATTTGGGGAGATATACTTTCACTTTCCTGTCCTTATTGAACTCAACAGCATATAGGAGGTAATCTCATTGAATGCTTTTGCCTATAATTCTTTAAAGTGGAACTTTAATCAGGAAAATGAAGTCCTGCTAGATCACTTTTCAGGCTGGCCCCTTTTGAAGACATAGCTATGTAAAACATTAAAAATGAGTGCCTATACTGTTTAAAATCCAGTAATACATTGTCTCACCCTGCGCTGCACATGCTTAGTTGTTCTCTATTGTTTGGCAAAAATCTAGAGGTTGATTTGCTGACAGCCTAAAGATTTACTGGTGCTCAGGGGTTCTGGGCTTAAGCAAAATGGCAGCCTCTAGCAGAAGAAACAGGAACAATGCTGGAGGCAATTTACAGCACATACTAATTTTGGTAGCATAATTATTAATGTGGAATGTGTGTTCCTTGCTAAAAAACAGTATTTTTTTATCAAATTGTTTTGGGTAAAGTTCAGCTTTAACCTCCATCTAACAACAAAAAACAGTTTTGACTTAGATATACTTTAACATTATAACCCGATTTAAAAAATAAACATCATAATACACCATCTGTGGAAGCATTATGAATGTATTAATATCTTGCACTAAATATTAATGACTTAATTTCAAATATTTTGAAATCAGAATGTGAAAACAATGCTGAGGTTGTAACGTTCTGCGCAAAAATGTTTTTATATCATTATTTCTCAAGCCATATATGATAGGGTTAGCTAAAGGAGTAAAAAAACAGCGTAAGTAAAGACCAACAGCCCTATCATAGTCTACAGAGCTACTTTTTGTAATACGTAAGTACATAAAAGCCAATGCTGCCAAAGAATAGACTGACAACGATGAAGATGGGCCCCACACGTTGAGAACGTCTTCTGACGCCTAACTTTGGACTTGATCTTCACTATAACAAGTATTACTCTGATGTAAGATAGTAGAACAAAGGCAAAACTTAAAAGGATGATGAAAGTGCTGACCAACAAAACTCAATACCAGTATGTACATCTTTGTATCAGTACATGCTAATGGATCAATGGGAGGGAAATCACAGAACACATTTTCAATATGATTTGGACCGCAATAAGGTAGAAGAGATATTAATATAGCTTCCATAACAGGGCTGATAAATCCACCAATTACACAAGCAACAACTAAGCTGGGACATAAAGCCTAGTCACCATAATAGATGAGTATTGTAATGGTTTACAGATGGCCAAATACCGATCATAGGCCATTATGGTAAGGATGTAACATTCTACAGCTCCAAGAGCATGCAGGAAGTAGGCTTGTAGTAGGCATCCAACAAAGGAGATTTTCTTTTCTTTATCCAGTAGGTCAGCCAGCATTTTCGGAATTGTGACTGCTGTATAACAAATCTCCAGACATGATAACGCCCCAATGAAGATATACATGGGATGGTGTAGGCTGGGCACATTCTGAATGACTAAAATAATTAAAATATTTCCAGTGATGATGAACAGATAGATGATCAGAAGTACCACGAAGAATAAAATGTGAATATTTTTGAGGCCTGGGAACCCAGACAGTACAATTTCAGTAACTTTGCTATGATTGTCAAGTTGCTCCATAACCTTAATACGTTGTACCTGTAATACAAAAATAGCTCAATAAAAAAGGGAACAAGAACAGAAGTAAAAACATGGAAAGGTAAATAAAAAGGGAAAGGAGATAGAGAAAGAGATAAAAGGAAAAAAAAAATGGAGTGAAAGGAAAAGTTGCACAGGTATGCTGTAAGGTACACGAAAGAGAGGAAATAGCAGGGAAAGCAGGGGAAAGAGATGGGCAAAGGAAAGAGAAAGGAAGGAATAAGACAAAGGGACAACTAAAGGGGAACAGAGCCCAGAGGAATGGACTGCCCCCCCCTTTTTTGTGCAATACATACAGTGGGGCAAAAAAGTATTTAGTCAGCCACCAATTGTGCAAGTTCTCCCCATTTAAAAAGATGAGAGAGGCCTGTAATTGGCATCATAGGTAGACCTCAACTATGAGAGACAAAATGAGAAAAAAAATCTAGACAATCACATTGGCTGATTTGGAAAGAATTTATTTGCAAATTATGGTGGAAAATAATTATTTGGTCACCTACAAACAAGCAAGATTTCTGGCTCTCACAGACCTGTACCTTCTTCTTTAAGAGGCTCCTCTGTCCTGCACTCATTACCTGTATCAATGGCACCTGTTTGAACTTGTTATCAGTATAAAAGACACCTGTCCACAACCTCAAACAGTCACACTCCAAACTCCACTATGGTGAAGACCAAAGAGCTGTCGAAGGACACCAGAAACAAAAATTGTAGACCTGCATCAGGCTGGGAAGACTGAATGTGCAATAGGCAAGCAGCTTGGTGTAAACAAATCAACTGTGGGAGCAATAATTAGAAAATCGAAGACATACAAGACCACTGATAATCTCCCTTGATCTGGGGCTCCACGCAAGATCTCACCCCGTGGGATCAAAAAAATCACACAGAACGGTGAGCAAAAATCCCAGGACCACACAGGGGGACCTAGTGAATGACCTGCAGAGAGCTGGGACCAATGTAACAAAGGCTACCATCAGTAACACACTACGCTGCCAGGGACTCAGATCCTGCAGTGCCAGACATGTCCCCCTGCTTAAGCCAGTACATGTCCGGGCCTATCTGAAGTTTGCTAGAGAGCATTTGGATGATCCAGAAGAGGATTGGGAGAAAGTCATATGGTTCAGATGAAACCAAAATAGAACTGTTTGGTAGAAAAGACACAACTTGTCGTGTTTGGAGGAGAGAGAATGCTGAGTTGCATCCAAAGAACACCATACCTACTGTGAAGCATGGGGGTGGCAACATCATGCTTTGGGGGCTGTTTCTCCCGCAAAGGGACCAGGACGACTGATCCATGTACAGGACAGAATGAATGGGGCCATGTATCGTGAGATTTTGAGTGCAAACCTCCTTCCATCAGCAAGGGCGTTGAAGATGAAATGTGGCTGGGTCTTCCAACATGACAATGATCCCAAACATACCACCCGGGCAACGAAGGAGTGGCTTCGTAAGAAGCATTTCAAGGTCCTGGAGTGGCCTAGCCAGTCTCCAGATCTCAACCCCATAGAAAACCTTTGGAGGGAGTTGAAAGTCCGTGTTGCCCAGCGAGAGCCCCAAAACATCACTGCTCTAGAGGAGATCTGCATGGAGGAATGGGCCAAAATACCAGCAACAGTGTGTGCCAACCTTGTGAAGACTTACAGGAAACATTTGACCTCTGTCATTACCAACAAAGGATATATAACAAAGTATTGAGATGAACTTTTGATATTGACCAAATACTTATTTTCCACCATAATTTGCAAATAAATTCTTTCCAAATCAGCCAATGTGATTGTCTTGATTTTTTTTCTCATTTTGTCTCTCATAGTTGAGGTCTACCTATGATGCCAATTACAGGCCTCTCTCATCTTTTTAAGTGGGAGAACTTGCACAATTGGTGGCTGACTAAATACTTTTTTGCCCCACTGTATACTATGTCAGACATCAATCAACCCAATATTATTTCATATAATTAATTTATTAGTTAGAAAATATATAAAATGTAAAATGCAGCGCTGTGTGATATTACCCAATGTAAGCAACAGTTATGATAAAGGAATGAAAACCAAACATAAAAATAAAATCACAAATGAAATGCAGTCCTGCAATAGTGCTCACTGGTTTTTCCAGTGCAAATGGTAGAAATGCGCACTAACCAGAAGCGTATTGATAATACGCATGTGTACAAATATCCTGAAGATTCCCCTCTCTTTCTGGTCAGAATATGGGTAGGAACTGGAAAATGTGGAGATGAAGCGCCCTCGTGTGGTGAAGATGAGGTCCCACAAGCCAGAGATATCCTTGTAGAGATGTATGGAGTAAATCCCCCCTCTCTGGAGCTGGTACAAGAGAGTCACTCTGAGGCTGCAAAAGTTGAAAGGCTCCAGAACATGTAGGGTACCGAGCCACGCGCAGCACAATCCCGGATCCCGCAGCGAATAGAGTACGGAAGAGAGGGCGGGTACCACAGCTGTGTCTGGTTTTTATTTCTATATCATAACTGTTGCTTACATTGGGTAATATCACACAGCGCTGCATTTTACATTTATATATTTATCTTGGGACTTCTTATGCGTTTTCCTTGAATGTTCAGCTGCTGACATTTTGGAGCGCTCACTGTAGCTTTTCTGTTTATATATATTAGTTAGGAATAGTGTGTGATAAGTTTAGTATCAATTATTGTTGGCTATATTTCTGCATTTATGTGATCATTGTCCTTTCTTAAAATATGTGAAGCTATTGGAGATCACGGAACAGTATCATGTATTTCTGTCGTCTAAGAAGGTTTGAAGATAACGTCACACTAAGAGTTATAAGTTATAAAGAAGATTTACAAATATGGACACTAAGTAGTTATAAAGTATAGAAGATTTTACAAATATGGACACTAAGAGTTACCAGTATAGAAGATGTACAACATATGGACACTAAGAGTTACCAGTATAGAAGATGTACAAAAAAGGCTTTTACTTATTTAGCTCACACTGAATTAGGAAATAACTGTTTAGTGGGTTGGCTCTTTTTAAAATATATATAAGAAGTGCCTTTGGACATAGAGGGACTCTCACATACATCTATACATTCTGCAGCTGACACATACTGACATTTTTGATTTCTTAAGGCCTACAAAGCCTTGATACACCTGTTGCCTTCCATGCCAAGACTGAAACACTTTTTCATAGAACAGGCAAGAGATTAGACATTTTTTCAAAGCTTATTTTTTTTCCATAATCTACTACTTTTGTTATATTTTTACTCTGTATTTTATTTTATCTTTTGTATTCATTTTATGTTATCACCAAGTGTGAATTAAATAAAAAATCACAATGTTTTTTGAAATCAGCCTGGCACTAGAACTCTTTACCATCAAACGCCTAAGAAAGACAAATAATATAAGTGTCACAATATTTAACACCATTGTACCTGGTTTACACACCTATATTGGCTTTTTTCAGCTTACTTAATTAATATTTCATTGACTATGATTATAAAATGATTAGCAGAGAATTTATAGTCCATACCATCTTTCCCTTACCAGAAGGTAAGCCAAGCCGTCTGTTGATATGCAGAAGATAATGAGGATTTAAAGAGTAACTTTACTATTCATCCTTCCCAAAAATACTATATTCTCCCAAAAGACCTCAGCTTTGATGATCATGATTAGAGATGAGCGAATCGAAGTAGGCGAAGTGGAATTCGTTTCGAATATTAGGAATATTAGGAATTAGGAATATTAGGAAAATTTCGCGTCGAATCCGAAAATAAGCAGACTTCGGATGCGCGAATCGAAATTTTTCCTAAAATGAGCGGCGACATGTGCGGGCGACGGAGCGGGGATGTCTGGGAAGGCGCGCAGACAAGGCGCGCTGACCCATTAATGCATTAATTCATGACATGTGATCGCATTAGCCAATCAGCAGCAGCCAGCCAGCACAGTGTAATGGTCGAGCTATAAAATGGCGGCCATTTTAGAATTCTCCATTTGCCTCCAGTCATTCAACAGAGGCAGACCTGGCTGTATTCAGGGAGAGAGTTAGGGACAGAGAAAGACGTT